CTTTTCATTTTGTTCCAAAGCTCCCTTAGGCTCTCCATCCTGTCTTTTAATTTTTTTCTCCAATTGCAGTTCAGTTTGGGTGTGTTTTGCTTCCCTGTCTTTTAATTCACTAATTTGGTCCTTTGCTTCTCCTAGTCTACTGTTGAAACTTTCCATAGTGTTTTTTATTGCAGCCTAATCACTCTTTATTTCTTCTTGATTCTTACATAATTTGTTAATTTTTTTTATTCATCCGGTTTATGAACTGTATGATCCTCCGTTTCACTTAGCTCCTTTTCTGGAAATTTCTCCTTTTCTCTCCTTTGGGGGTTTCTTTGTCTCCCCATTTTTGCTCTCACCAAAGGATCTACGTGTCGAGTCATGCGGGGGCTGCTCCTCGGGTGGTTGCAGCAGTTGCTGCTCCTCAGTTGGCAGCAGCTCCTCTGGTAGGCGCTGCTCTCATGGCTGCTTCTCCTCCGATGGGGGCGGGCTGCTTGCATGGCTGCTGCTCCTCGGATGGGGACAGGCTGCTTGCGTGGTTGTAACGCCCTGGGCTAAAGCATTGGGCTGGCCAGAGGGGAGCACTCTGTGGAACTCACAGGAGCCCATGCCTGGGGTGGCTGGAGTCTCAGTGACTGTGGGACCTCAGCTGAGGCAGCAGGTCCCTCATGGGGGTGGCTGTAGAGTCCTGGGTGGTGTCTGAGGGCACCCTGGGTGGAGGTAAGGCTGGGCTCCCAGTCACAGCAGCTCTCCCCTTCAAGAAGGCGTGCCCTGCAGTAGAGCCGGTCGCCCAGGGACTATTTGCAATGATAGCAGAGGCTGCCCACTAGGCGAGCCCGGTCTGTCTGCCCCCAAAGGTCCTGCGGGATCTAACTGTCCCTCACTCACACATCCCCCCCACACACATACATCCACATACTCCCCTTTTGCTCCCTCACTCAGTCACACTCTCTCCCTCACTGCCACCATCTTCCTGCCTCTGTAGCTGGGTCTGTAGTGTTATTGACCTGTTCGTGGATGGAGTTTCCTCTCTGGGTGTCTGGTTATTTGGCTCGTTCTCTACCACATTGACCAAACAGGACAAAATGTCACTCGACAAGACATGACACAAAGGGAACAAATCACAAATGCACTCACAACACTGATAACCCCAATATAAGTGACCACCAGAGAATTAGGGGAGAGAAAAGAGAGCACAAATGATATCAAAGAGAAAAAAAAAATGGTAAGAAAAGAAAAAAAAAGAAGAAAAAGGGAACTATACATATGGGGATAAAACACCACAGAACAAACAGATAAACCAAAAACTGCAAATACCAAACACCCAGAAAAGAGGGTGGGGGCAGAATCTGTAGAGGCTAAGCTTATATACAGAAAGTAAGGTTAAGGAATTGGATGAATATGGGGAGGACCTCAGTTCAGTATAAAGGAAGTAGAAAGAGGATGAGTGGATAAGAAGAAAGAAAAAGAGAAAGAAGAAAAACAATTGATTAAAAAAATAGGATAAAATAAAAATATTAAAAATAGAATGATGAAAAATAATGCAAAAAGAAAAAATAAACAGACAAAAAAGGAAAATAAAGAAAAAAGAAGAAAAAAAGATAACAAAATAATAATAAAATGAAATAAAGATAAAAATGAAAAAGTGAAGTGTGGTTCATTTCTGCCAAGTTTTAATGCCCCATCGGGGCTGGTTTAAGATCCCACTCTTCTGTACTGTCTGCCACTTCTCAGTTTCCTGTTAGGTTGTTGAAGTTCCAAGCGGTCCACCGCTCCTCTGTTTGTGTCTATCTCCACAGCCTTGACTGCCAGCAGGCGGAACCAATCTGCCCACTTAGCCTGTCTGCCCACTGTCAATCTTAATCTCTCAAGCAGCTGTTTCTGACAGGTCTATAGTTGGGGAGGTTGCTGTGACTGAAAGGCTTCTCTTCAGCCCAGTCCCTGAGGGCTATCAGGGACTATTCATATATATATATTTTTTTATCCTTTGTAACACTCAGGGTGTAGTCTGGGTGTGGCTGTATTGGTTGCCTGGAGACTGCAGGGAGGGGCTATCTCTTCAGGAGAAGATGGCTGCTTAGGTCTGGTGTCTCATGTATGTCTCAGTGCCAGACCCCCGGCCACCTCTCCCAGCCTCTCCCCAGACTCCACAACTCCACCTGCACCTCAGCCATGGGTGAGTATTTGTATTTGAAAGGTCCTATGAACTGGGTTTAGTGAATAAAAGCAAAGACCAACAAGTTGGAAAAGAGCTTTGCCACTGTGAGTCCCTCTCCCCCAGTATAGCGTGGCTTGGGCAGTTGTTCAGGCTTCCCCCTCTGGGCTCAGCCTCTCATGGCTGTGGGCTTAGATCTAGAATCCCATGCCACCAGCAGCCATGTGGACTTCCTTTCCACAGTGAGATGTTACGCCTGTCCCGAGGGACACGGCCTTGGTGCCGTGCGGCTTACTTCCGACCCTCTGGGCTTGGAGGTCCCGCACCTCTCTCCAGCCCAGATCCCTGATGTTACTGTTCTCCAGGAGTTCTCTGCCCTTCCCAGCTGTGAATTGTCTCACCAGCTGTACCTACTTTGCCAATTCAAGGTGGATGTTATTCGATTTACTTGCTCCTTCTATCTGTTCCTGGACAAGGCTCGGGACACATCTACCTGTCCTTCCACCATTTTGTCTTCCTCAGATACTTCTTAAACAGATCAATCAAGAGGAAGATTAGAAAGGTTCTGTTAGTCTTTGATTATCTTAGCAAATGCAATTTTGGTGTAGTAAAGGGGTTGAAGAATGGAAGTTGAGAAAATGGAGACAGTGCATGTAAACAACCAGTTGAAGAAGCTTAGCTGTGAAGGGTAGGTGGGAAAAGAGAGTGGGAGCTAGAAGAGGTTATGGGGTTAAAATGGTGATTTTGCTTTATTTTTAAGCTGATAGAGAGGTGAGCATGTTTAAATGCGGGTGTGATAGGAATATTTGAAAATGAAGATGAGAAAAAGCATAATCAGCACAGAATCACTGAGAAAGCTAAAGGGAATGGTCCAAACCCCAGATGAAAGAATGCTGTTTCCATTGAAGCCTAATAGGTGTGGATGCAAGCTTAATGATGGGAAGCAGAAGAAGTTCCCATCTTAGGCCTCTACTTTTCTTCTGTAAAGGAAGAGGTGACGTCTACTGCTGAGAGGGGAGGAGAGATTGTGAAAATCAGAGATATGAAGAGAGGGGAGAAGATTAAAATGATCTCTTGTGGGAGAGGTAGAAAAGGCTGTTATAAGATTGCAAAGCAGTGCTGAGATCAAGTATAGATAGTGATTGTGATCATATTTCTCCAGTAGTGCTCATCCTTCCAAATGCAGGTTTGGAACAAGCAGCTGGATAGAGTCATCAAATGTGGGGTTTTGCCTGGCTAGTATCATGGGATAACAAAAGAATGAGAGAATTTAAGACATTGCTAAAAAGTGATACATTATGGGATATACATTGGATAGATAAGAAAATGGATATTTAGAAAGGATCTGATTAATAGGAGGAGGAAAGTGGAGGAGTGGAGTCTCTGGAGTAAAAGTCTGGCTGAGTTAAAGAGCAATAGCAGGGGCAGTACAAAGATAAGGTTCCTCTTCATCCAGAATTTGTGTTTGACTTGAGAGGCAAACATATAGGTGGAAAAGTTCTTTGGAGATAAGTAATTAAGGAATTGGGAGGCCAGGTTCTAGGTAGGTTATCTTCTCAGACATTGAAGTCACACACTACAGCACTTCTCAAACTTGAATGTGTATGTGAATCACCTGGGGCCTAGTAAAACTACAGATTATGATTCATTGAGTTGGGGTGGAGCCTTAGATGAGCATTTCTTGCAAGCTGTCTTATGGTGGTAATGCTTCTTGTCTACAGACCACACTTTGAGTAGTGAGGACCTAGAATGAGGTCCTGAGGGACATGGGGGTGGGAGGAAGTTGTGAACTAGGTACTGGAGACATCGTGACCACAGAGGTATGCCTAGAGATCAATAAAGATAGTGATGAGGAGAGAGAGGATGAGTGAAGTGACAGAGTTGAGCCTCAAAAGAGCAAGAGTTTTAACGAGTGCATGGAAAAAGGATCTTGATGTGGTACTGGGAGTTGAAAGAATCAGTCCACATCCATGGAGAGTGTTTAAGAGAAAGCAGTTTCTATTTCAGGTCTGAAAAGGAGAGCAGTTTCTTTGCAGGAGAGCTGGTTTCAACTAAAAATGACTTGTAGAAGATATTCAGTAAAGTTTGCATATTCTGGAATAGGATTTAAGAGGGAGTCAGAAGTTCAAGGGATTTTTGTGGGGATGAGTACATTTTGGACAGTAAGTGAGAGAAGTGATGAATTCAGCTGTTGTCTTAGAGGTTTAGTGAGCCATCAAGGAACTTAGAATTCAGCTTTCTGTGGGGAGAAAGTGTAATAATCTAATATAAATGGCAAGGTGGCAAGTTTTTAAGTCTAGTTGTCTAATGAGCTGAAGTGCGTACTGGGTTGTTCTGCATTACTCCAGTAATGAAGACCAGATGATGAGTATAAGAAAAGGGTGTACTGTAAAATGACCTGTTTGGTGGTATGTTCCCTAAAGACCATTGAACATGTTAAACTCCCTGTGTTTACTATTGCCTCTAAGTGACAACAGATATATAAGGCAGCTATAGGTTGGAATGAGCTAGAGCTAAAGAAAAGATAAGCATGACAATCTTGATCATATATATTTCCCTAAAACATTAAAACCGTACTTGTTCAATAAAATTGCCATAGAAAAACAGAGAAGTAAAAGTTGAAGTTGCTTTATTTTTTCCCTCCCTACGGGCAAAAATTGTACAGATTTTATAAATATTGTGAACGTTTCACATTGAATCCACCATATCTTTATCAAAGCTTAAGCATCACATCACATTATTTATTAGTTTGCATCTGTGAAAATGATCAGTTGTAATTTGTTGTAATGATATTTCTTTGGAGCTTTGTTTACTGTGTACTTTGAAATTGTCTCTCATAATTTTTCCCCCTTATCTTTATTTTTAGTTTCAGAAGCCAGTAATGATTCAACAATAGATGATGTGGTTGAAAATCATGTTGCTGACCAACTTTCATCAGATATTACACCAAATGCTATGGATACTGAATTTTCAACATCATCTTCTCCAGCCAATTTACTGGAACGACCAACCAATCATACAGAGACTCTTGGTCATGATCATTTAGGAACTAATGACCTCACTGTTGGTGGATTTTTGGAAAATCATGAGGAGCCAAGAGATAAAGTACAATGCCCTGAAGAGAATATACCAGCATCTTCACTCAACAAAGGGAAGAAATTGATGCATTGCAGAAGCCACGAAAAAGTCAACACTGAACTAAAAGCACAAATAATGAAAGAGATTAGAAAGCCAGGAAGAAGTATGTATAATTAGACACAAACCTCAGCTTTTATTTTGTGTATGCTCAAAAAAAAAAAAATTAAGTAAAAGCTTATATCTAATTCTAGATCAGTCTTGAACAATATATAAGCTACTAGAGGCCTGGTGCATGAATTCGTGCACCGGTGGGGTCCCTCGGCCTGGCCTGCGCCCTCTTGCAATCCGGGACCCCTCGGGGGAAGTCGGACTGCTGGTTTCAGCTTGATCCCCACAGGCCAGGCCAAGGGACCCTACCAGTGTACGAATCCGTGCACCGGGCCTCTAGTATGCATATAAGATCTTTGGTTAATCTCTTCCCGCCCTCCCCACTTCCCCCTTCCCTCTGAGATTCATCAGTCTGTTCCATGTTTCCATGCCTGTGTGTTGAGCATCTGCCCACTGGTGGTCAGTGTGCGTCATAGCTACCAGTCAGACGGTTGCTTAGGCTTTCATATATATAGATATGTGGGATTTGATTCTTTGTTCAGCTGACAAATATCTGCTTGCTATATCCAAAGTACTATGCTAGGTATGATAAGCAGGAGGGACTGAGAACACAGGAAGAGCACACATAAATTACATATAGTTCCTACCATGACAGGAACCCATAGTCTTTAGTATTCTCCTAGCCAGCAACTGAAATTTTAATGTAGCAGCAAACCCAAAAAGATGTTGGGAATATTAAATGACTTCATGTCTCTAAAGTTCTTGGCATAGTGCTACCACTGTGTTTAAGATTTAAACTATTATGGTGACCAGGGATGTGTTTAGGTAAAAAAACTAGTTATGAAAGCTATCTATTATATCAGCGGTTCTCAACCTGTGGGTCGCGACCGCTTTGGGGGTCGAACGACCCTTTCACAGGGGTCACCTAAGACCATCGGAAAACACATATATAATTACATAATGTTTTTGTGATTAATCACTATGCTTTAATTATGTTCAATTTGTAACAATGAAATTGGGGGTCACCACAACATGAGGAATTGTATTAAAGGATCGAGGCATTAGGAAGGTTGAGAACCACTGTATTATATGAAAACAAAAGAACTTTGTGGGATAAAGTTTCAGTATCAACTGGCATTCTTTCAGAAGGTGTCGACAGATCACTTGTTATGATGGTCCAGAAATGGGTAAGACTCAGTCCTTGCCATTTAGGATCTTACAGTCCTTAGCAGAGTTTTGTGTGAAAACTTGAAACTAAAATAGTCACTCTTACTCTGTTTTATTATTTTTCCTCCTTATACCCCCAACACCCAACCCCCTTTCCCTATGGTGGCTATAGTTTACAATTTTCATTATAAGGGTGCATTTTTGTTAAGGCCACTTGCGTCTTACTTTTCAGTGGCAATACCAAAAAGCTAATACCAAAAAGCTATTTATTCACCCTTCTAAGCTTTGGAACTTTAATGAGAACTTTCACTAAAAAAGCAGTGTTTGACAAATTAAAGTCTTCAATGAGCAGTGAAAATTTTATGTAGAATATTTTTGGTTTTGTCTTAGTATATCTTGTAAACTGAAATAGAAAAATATTAAATATGAGTGCAAATGAAAGCCACTTAATTTTTCTTTTTGCTTCTCTTTTAAGAATATGAAAGAATCTTCACTTTACTGAAGCATGTACAAGGCAGTTTACAAACAAGACTAATATTTTTACAAAATGTCATTAAAGAAGCATCAAGGTAAATAATCTATAGAACATTATAAGAAGTATTTTAACAATATGTATTGTGCTATGCATGTATGTGACACACACACACACACACACAAGCACTTCTCTCTTTTGTAATTTATTGAAAGAAGTTCACTTAAAAAACAGCCACACAAAAATTCTTTAGAACTTAAATCTTTTCTTCCTACGAAGTATAGGTACTTGCATAATTCTTTTTTCCTACTCTTGTGGCTTTTGGTGTCTGTATATTTAATAGCCTCTAATTTTTCTCCTTTGTATATTTGGCTTACGGTTAATATTAATCAGTGATTAGTAATAACCTCAAAAGGCAATATTTTAATGCAGCTCACTTGTATGTGGGAAAACTTGTAATTAAGGGGACCAGAGTCAGACAAATGGGCCTTATTCTGATTGCTTCAGTAGCCCAGGATTATGTACTTTAGTAAAAGGAATGTGAATCAAGATTATAAATGGTAACTCCATAGTACAGTTAACTGGAAAGCATAGTTTTATAAGTTTAGTGAATATAAAAATTTGTTTTATTTTTCCTTTAAGACTTGTAATATTTTAAGAAAACAGAGTTTATCTTATCTGACCTTCCCAATATACCCATTTTTTTTAATTAGTCCCTCAGTTTCTTCCATGCTACACTCAAAGTTTGTTTTAGATTGAGCAGTTCATTCTGTGTGTGTGTGTGTGTGTGTGTGTGTAAGAAAGAGGCTACAGCATAGGCTATTTTGAAGGTGCAAGATAAGGCGATAACTTTTCACATTATCTGTTTTGAGTATTTAATCTATTCTGCTCTTTACATAACATTCTGTCATCTTGGATGTCATCATGGATTTAGCTATATTCCTGGTGCCTGCACTTCTACCACCTTTTAGAGCAGCAATTTTCAACCAGTGTCCCTCAAGAAGTTAAAAACTTCTGCAATACCTGACTAGTCAGGGGCATTGACCTCTTTTCCCTTACATTGTCAAATTAAAAAATGACATCAGCCATCACAACAATAATCAATGTGAATGAATCAAAATTAGACCTATTTTTTGGTCAGATTGGCAAAAATGTGTTTTTGGTGTGCTGCAGATTTACTAATTAGTTTATGTGTGCCATGAGATGAAAAGGTTGAGAATCTCTATTTTAGAGAGTTATGTAATATTATAGTGGTTACAAGTAGAGAAAAAGTGGGTATAGATTATGCAGTGTTTTGGGATATTCTAAAAAGCATCAGCAGTATTAGTGCTATGTAGACAAATGCAGTTTCAGTGAACTATATTACTGAAAAAAATTTTAAATTGCAGCTTGAACTGTACTATTCATTATATTCTATACTAAAGATGTCTAATTATCCTTGATTTGCTAGCTTTCAAATTGTAACAGTAGAACACTGTGGCTTTTAAGTGCTACTACTCAGCTTTCATTTCATCTAACATTTTGTGAGGGATTATATTCATACTTTGTTCACACTCCTTTTAACATTCAACTTTCAAAGAACATAAGAAGCTATTGGATTCATTGCTTTGGGAGTCCTAATTTTGCTGCATTATTAGTAATCCTGTATATATTAGGTTTTTCCTTTTTCTTTTTTGTTGTGGAAGGAATAATCTCTTTCCCATTGTACTTAAGCCTGGATTGTTTGTTTTAGGAACAAATTATAATACAGTACTGATAAAAATAATTTGCTAGTCTTCCAGGAGATTTCATATATCATAAAGTTGTTGATTTTTAATTTTTATTTCTCTTTGAAAAATCTTCCCAAGGCAGTTTCTCTGTTTTAAGAAAAACATTATACTGATGTATAACTTGCTCGTTAAAAAGGAATTGAGAGTGCAATTATTTTTTTTATACAGGTTTAAAAAACGAATGCTAATAGAACAACTGGAGAACTTCTTGGATGAAATTCATCGAAGAGCCAGTCAGATCAACCATATTAATAGCAATTAAAAGAAAACAGAATGTGGCCACTTATTTCACTATATCTTCTCCAAATACAAAGTAAATACAAGACTGTTGTGATTTTGCATTCATTTTTTGACATGCATTGTTGGCTATTTGAAATACTAAGAGCAAGTCTACAGAACCTTTCTCATCATTTTACAGTGACCTTTTCATTTTGGTTTATTTTTGTAATGTGAAAAGTATCACTCTAAAAAACATTTTTATTTAACAAACTAAAAATATTCCTTCAAATCTCTTGCTTGTCATTGACTCTTGCGTGTCAATTTCCCTCAGGTTCTATTTTCTTAAACCAACCTTTAAAATTGTCACCTCTGTTAAGGTTGAACTTTGCCAAAAAAATAAAAAGAAGTTACTTTGTAATTTTTGGGGAAAAAAGCACATACATTAAAACTAGGTAATGTTTTGTATATACAGTTATTTTGGATATATTATTGTAAGTTGTACAAATGTATTTTGAAGAATATTTAAGAAAAGCACTTTTGTTATTCCATCAATAAATGCTCTATTTTACTCTTGTGTGGTTTAGGAAATAATCACATTTAAAGAAATCATTTAAAACTATCTTAAGATAATGGAATTTTAAAAGCTTTGCTTTATAGCATTGAAAAAATACACCACTTGAAGTTCATATTTGTTAAACCTAACTGTAATTACTTGGTACATAATCTGCATTGTCTTTTTTCTATATGTTCTTATCTTTTGTTGGTCATGCCAAAGTACTCCCATTTCTGCCCAGAGAATGGAATCAACAATATCTGTAGCAGATAGGCAGGTACTTTAAAAGCTGTTTAAAAAGCAGACACCTTTGGACATTATTGGTTTCCTTATTTCCCTTCAACCCCTTTTCCTTTCTTACTAGGAAGTGTAGAAGGCTCAGAGTTGAAACTGTTAGGGAGTTGTAAGTTTGGGGAACATCACATACACTGAAATAGCTTCCTGTTAGCAGCTTGATGCCATGCTTACAAAAGTCCCATAAATTGGGAGTTCAAGGGGGATCTCTTTGTTCTCTGCTATTCTCACACATAAACTCTCCATTTTATTTGAAGCTAAATGAAAAGGAAACACATTAGGATGACTTGGCTCATTTTGCATTACCCCCGTTTACCTGGGACAAGGAAAAACAAACACTATTCATTGTCCACCTTCAGTAAAGTGGCCTCATGTCCTTACTGAGGACACAACCCTATGACCTGACTCACCATTCATATATCACTGCTGTGCCTTGTAGTGCTTTGGGATAGCCAGTAGAAAAAGAAAAATGCATTTAGATTAAGTGGGTGAAATAAATTTATAAAATTATAGTAAAATTGAAGTATTTTTAGGTTCATAACATTTGAAAATTACATACCCTTATCTTTTTACACTTTAGTAGAACAGTTTTTACATTTCAAGGGTATAGGGTAATGAAATTGTAACTTTTTATGAAGAAAAGCATAGATGGAAGTGGAGAACATGTTTGAGATCTGTTAATTTTTTTAGTCTAGGGGATTTGAAACTCTCCCAATACTGAAGATAAACCCTGTCAAGAAAAAGAAGCATGTATAATGTTATATAGTATTTTCATATGCAATTCTTTAAACCTTTTTTACCTCTACTAACTTTCTTTAAAGCAGGATGTCATTTAATAGATGGAATTGTTAAGGTAATTATCTACAGTCACATTGCTAAATTCAGCAAGAGTTACACAAAATCCAGAATATATTGTCTGGTCTTAAATTATATATACATGCTTACATTCCAAGATTAATGGAAGGGATTACATACAAGTCATTCAGATAAAAATTCATGCTTAAGAATATTTAGGAAAGGGATTCAGTCTATTCCAATATTTAGTGTCCTTATCAAAAAAATTCTAATTTTCATTTCAAAAGTTGCTCATGAGCTAATCCTTTAGACTCTTGACCTTTAATCCATTGTTGGGGGGATGAACCCTAGAAAGAGTTGTAAAGAAGCAGTTTATTCAATCTCTTTTTGTCAATCTCTGCCACAATACTCTACACGCTCATCCTAAAACCTAGTCACAAGGTTTGAAACCCATTGAAATTCAAGCTTAATATCCCACCTCTATCAGGTTTTCTGCATTTTAAGAAACTTAGCTTATATTTCAATTAGTGAAATACTGTAGAATTCTTATAAGCAAAGGGGAAGTGGACTATATTTGAGTGAAATATGTCTTTTAGGCCTTTCAGCTCACTGGATGACTAGGCTGGACAAATTATATTTTTCAACAGTTAAATCTTGAGATAAAGAGTTTTTCTTAATGGTCTCATGTGTCCCATTTGTCAATTGATGAGTCATTATTTGCCCTTATTAGTAAGATTGATCAGTTTGGTATACTGAAGGCTGAGACTCATTTTTATCTCTTCAATACCCCAGTCACCAGAAGAGTGTCCATCCACTTGTGTGATGTGGGTAAGTATCTCTGAGAAAGAGAGGTAAATTAATTCACAGGGACTATAGATGTGCAGCAGATTATGTCACTGGTTTTGGATTAGGCTTATGTTTTCATTCTCTGTTTACTAAGGCAATTCTACAAACTATCATTGAAATGGTAGTGTGTCCTTTACTACTTGAAAGATTTTACAGTCATTTTTAAAATACATTTTATTGATTTTTTACAGAGAGGAGGGGAGAGGGATAGAGAGTTAGAAACATGGATGAGAAACATCGATCAGCTGCCTCCTGCACACCCCCTACTGGGGATGTGCCCGCAACCAAGGTACATGCCCTTGACCGGAATCGAACCTGGGACCCTTGAGTCCGCAGGCCGACGCTCTATCCACTGAGCCAAACCGCTTAGGGCGATTTTACAGTCATTTTCATGCAGTTAAATTCCAAGAAAAAAATTGTTCCCGTAACTGTCATCAACTTTTATTGGCTATCAGCTTTTGACAATGACCTTTCTGTTCCAATTTAGTCTCCTGTCTGTCTTAAGGGAGTAGAACCTGTCATCTTTCATTTTTGACATGTATCTTTTCTAAGAGAGGGCTCGCTGTTGCCTGTTCTGAGTGATATGTGTCATTTTCATCTAATATGTATGGGGTTGGGACATATCTGTTGATGGACCTTTTCTCCCCAAATAATCCCAAAATGATCATTTTCATCCTTTTTGTCACAAAAGTGTTCCTTTGATTTCTAGCACAACTTGCAGCAGTATGCAAATGATTCTCAGATAAAATGATGTTGACAATATTTCCTTAACAATTTGTGTAAAGCCTATGCCTAATTTTCATGATTCTAACTTTTGACTTTTTTCTCTCCATAAATAAAAATAATGCCTGATGTTTAGTTAAAGTAGATCCATTTTTGCTTGATTTTATTAGTCTTGTTCCATACTATTTCTTTTGAACACATTTAGACTTGCCAACAACTCTTTACTGAGAATCTCTTCCTTCCTAGGCTGATAAATAATTGCCATAGGAGGAGGGGGAACATTAAGAGGAATAATTTGAATACTTTGTTCAGTGTTGTTGACACTTAAGGACTTCTGGGCTTGTTCTTATGTGCTAATTATTTGCCTGTACTATACCATTTTTTTGAATTAAGATGAGGTATAGGGGGATTAAAATTACAAGGGCAAACATTTGATTTTTTTTTTCAGCAAACTTGAGAAAGAACAACAGAAAGACTAGAAATCTGAGTGCATGCATTTACTAGACCATTAGGGTTGCTGAGAGTCAGAGGACTTCTTGGATACTCTAGTGGTCTGAAGGAACTGTCTTTTATCCTGCAATGACAATGAACTGGGCAACAAGTTCAAGGAAAAAGTCAAGACTTATCATTTATTTTACTTTCGTGATTTTTCTAAGTCTCCCCAGAAGTAGAAACATGAATTTTAAAAATGTACATCAACTACAAATGAGCTTGAGAGAGAATGGTGAAAACCCAGAGGATATTAGTTTCCCTTTAGTTATGAAATGTTCTCCTTTCTTGGGATATGAAGCACCATGGAAACTAGCTAGAGGGAATGCTTGTTAGGCTACTGTGGATAAATGAGCCCTTGTTGCTAGAGAGAGGCTGATAAGTAATTTATCTGAAGTCTAACAAAAACTGTAATGCCAGTGTTGTGCTCAGGGAAAAGATGTATGGCCAATTTGCTTTAAAAATGGGGATCTGAGACCTTTTTAGTAACAATAGCACTGCAGGAAAGATAATAGAAGAACCCCATTAAAAGTGATATCTGTAATACTTTCAATAATAAAGATAAATAAAGAACCCCATTGCATTTTTCTATTCATTTGAAGAAAGTTACTATTAAAGTTGGATATGAAGTCCCTTGATTTTGAAGAAGTAAAAGCATCCTAATTTTTCATTTTGATTAGGATGGGGTGAAATTGGGGAAATTAAAGAGAAAAGATACCTATTTTTTCAGAATGACTATTCCTTTTATGGGGATGATGGAACAAATCTTTTTCAAAATGGGTATCTCTTCCATTATTTTTCAAAAACTGTTCTCTGTTAACATGTTTTTTAAATGCTGTACCACATCTGCACTTGGGGTTTTCAGTAGGAAACTTTAGAAGTGTGAAGATTGAACTGGCTAAATCTAGATATAGACAGCAGTAGGGCTATGTGGACAGCTCAGTTCCCCTTATGAACACACCTGTGGCTGCAGATGCCTTGGTGCCTTCCTCTCAAACCTCAATCTTGACTTTGTGGATCACTTCAAAAACAAAAGCCATCTTGGCCTAACCATAGGAGATAAAGATGTGAATTGCTTATTGTATTTATGCATTTGTTTTAGAGATTTGAGTACATTTTCCAAGAGTGCACTGTACTTAACAGTTACAGTCTTAGGTTGCTTACTGTATAGCTAGGGAGAGCTTGTCAGAAAATTCTTAAGGTGCAGTATTTTATGCAACTTTCAAAACATCAAAGTTAATAAATAATAAAAACCCCAAATTAATATTCAGGGTTGTGCCCCATTTTTTCAATAGTTATTTTTAAAAATAGTTTCTAGTTAATATTTACATCTCTGTCAGCCAATATTTCTAAAACTTTGGCGGTATAAGAATTACCAGAATATGTGTTGAAGTGCAGATTCTGGAGTCCAGAAATCTGCATTTTTGTCAAGCTTCTGAGATGATTTCCCTTGGATGACTTCTTGGATGGACTGCATTTTAAGAGCCACTTTTAGATGACAGTGGCAGATTTTACTATAGGCTTGAAATGGCATAATTCAGTGAATTGAAAATGTGTCTAATGCTGCAGGAGTGCATTCTGTATACTGAGCTATATCAGCTATGCAATTAACTTGCCTCATGGGCTGGAATCTGCAAATAAAATGAGAGGTTAAAACTACCATAGTTGTGTGCTAACAGTTTCAAAGATAAGCCTGGCGAATAGGAATATGATAGGTTAGGGGAATTAATGGATTTTTGTAATTTAACCATTAATCATTTAAAAACTCCACAATGAAATATTTGATGACACAATAAGGAATGAAAGTTAAGAATATTTAGAACTAGAGAACACTAGAAATTATTCAGTCCAACCCTTTAATTTTAGGTGAGCTGTTGGCATCTGAGGTTACAGTCTTGATAAGTAGAGTTGGGCATATGCAGGTTTTCTGACTGCAGTGCCCATTTCCACCCACCCCTTCACACAAACACGATCATCTTTCAAAAAGTAGCTAGTCAACTCTAGCACGCTAATGGAAAGGCATCTGTGGTAAGAGTCTTGATCATTAACATGTATATTTTGAGGCAGTTTCTTTGTTTCATTTTAGACTAATACTTGAAGTGTTTTGCATTTTTATGCACATACCAGGAAATGGCAAATGACCGTCATGAGAGAATAGAACCAGCCCATAGTATAGTCTCTCCAGCATTTCATCAATCTCATAAATTAAGTACACAGAGGAAATTGTGAGTTGGCTGAGTTCTCTGTAAGGAACATTTATTTCCCAACATCACTGAAGGGGACCTGACAGGGCCAGAGAAAGGGAGAAAGCAATGGGAACATTCACCTGGCATCTCTTGTCCTAAAGCCAGTGACGAATCTGATTTAAGCAATTGGTCTTTTTCTGTAGAATCTTTTAGAAATTTTCTATAATAATTGTGGATAAAAAATGGTTCTTTGTTGGTCATGAGAAGGTTTTACTAATCTGTCTTTATTGCTTCTTCTAGTATGGTATCTGAACATTTTAAATAAATGTTAATGAAATGAGCAGAGGTTTACTATGAAACCCTATGTCAGCTAAAATATCATAAGTGTGTTTGTATTAGAGTCCAGGCACCTTTGCACAATGTGAGAAATGGGACCAATTGATACAAATGAGTCTTTGGTTAGATGGGCTTACTAGTAGCTATTGCAGTTTCTTGAGACTGCAACTGAAGAGTTTCATTTTCATAGTTTTTCTCCATCACATGACAAGAATGGTTCAATAATTGACATTTTCATGTTTGCACAGCCATAAGCCAAGACTTATAGCCCATCAGGCCCCAGCATTGGCGCCTCTCAAATTTTATCTCTGATAAGAGTTAACATTTCAGAAGAACAACATTTATGATCAAAACAAGAAATCAGGTGTTATCTGTGGGTTTGTGTTTTTCTTCTTGAGTGATCTTGTATTATAGATACCTGTATGCTTACTTTTGTTAAGTAACTACTGAAATGTTATGCAACTAATGAAACCAACTTAAAGGAGGCCAAGTACAAAAGGCTCCTGTCATTGGGCTCTTCCTCTCCTGCAGTGTTAGCAGCTACTTAGTGCCATTGAGGTTGTACAACTTGTTTTCCCAAAATTTGTTCCCAAGATTGTTTATAGGTGCTACTCTAGAAAAGGGTTCCCTGGCTTATTAAAATGGGAAATGCAGAAAATGGGTAGTGTTGTGCTTTTGTTTTTAGTAGTGGACTTCTTAGAGCTGCTAATTTGCTAATGTTCATAGTCCTACAGGAGGACTATAATATGTAGTATTTAATCATGGAACCTATATGGTCTTTCTAATAATAGGGTAAATTTATACAAAACAATCTAACCTTGTTAATATATTTTCTTTCACATTAGTATATTTTTCTAGTATTTGAGGGCATCGTGGCTATTTTGTGGGAGAGCATGACGTATTACCCTTAGAAGATAGTACATTTCAATATCCAAAGCAAAGGGGTAAGTTTTTCCTTACTCTCCCTCCTGGCATAATCTCCACTCTTCTTCCATAACAGCTTCTAACATGTTTACATGTTAACCTTACTTTTAAGATTGTTAGCTCTTAGGATGCAGAAGCTGTCTTAGTCATTTTAAATATTTTGTACTTTGCTAAA